ATACTCCAGTCTGGGTGATAGACTGAGAGCAAAAAAAAAAAAAAAAAAAAAAAAAAAGCCACAGGCTGCTATAGAATCAAAAAGAACCAATGTCTTAATTCAGAGGCCATCAGGCAGGAGAATTCTTTCTTACTCAGGGGAAAGTTAACCTTTTACCCTATTCAGGCCTTCAACTGATAGGATGAGGCCCACCCACTTTAGGGAGGGTAATCTCGTTTGCCCAGGCTACTGATTTTAATGTTAATCTCATCTAAAACACCCTCTCAGAAACATCCAGAATAATAATTCAGCAAATATCTGAGCACTCTGTGACCCAGCTAAGTTGACACATAAAATTAACCATCACAGGAGAGGAGTTGAGTGAGTCATGAGGTATCTGTGGGAAGAGCTTTCTAGGAAGAGTAAATTTCAAGAGCTAAGGGCCTGGCTTGGTGAACGATGAGGCAGCAAGTGCAAGAGGGACTGAGAGCCCCAGAAGCTGAGTAGCAGATGACTTCAGAGCGCCCTTGTGGTGAGGCTGGTAGCAGGCCTGACTGACCATGGACATGGCTTTTTCCCCGCCTTTGGTTGCTTCGTTAGACCTATTTTAGGATCTCCGCCTTTGTCACATTCTTTCCTTTTCGTGGGTATTTTTTTTTTTCCGGTTATACTCATGAAACTTTATTTTAGGTCCCTAAACACAGGCTTTAGCAATTGATGCTGTATAAAAAGTGCATCATCCAACTCTATTATGACTTATTTATAGCAATCTGCTCATTCACAAAACAAAGAATTCCAGGCATATCATATGTTACTAGCCTGTCCTGAGTATGGATGGTTCAAATTCATTTGTGGACTCTTGAGTAGGGCTGTCTGTCTATAATGACAATGCACATACATGCAGGCTTGCTATAAAACCAGCTTCTAAGAGTTTATGTTTTATAAACTACATAACAGATTTAATAGTTTCTCCGTACATATTTAATGATTCCCACCTCAGAGGGCACAGGAAATGGTCCAAAGCAGATGCCTTTAACTTAAAATGACTGACAAGACATCTGTGTCAGTGAGCTTTAGCTGCATAACAAACCATTTCAAAACTTAGTGACTTGAAAACAAGTCACTACTGAGACAATAACCATATGTTACTGATCACAAGTCTATGGGTCAGCTGGCCCTTTCTGCTGATCTACATTGGGTTACAGTGATCCTAGCTGGTCTTCAGCAGATGTCTCTGTTCACCTAGCAGATCAACTAATGTCTGGCTGGTTGAGGATAGTCTTACCTACCTGTCTGGCAGCTGGCTGGCTGGCAGTTGGGACAGCAGGAGTGATTGGGTCCTGTGTCTCTCATCTTCTAGTAGGCTAATCAAAGATTGCTCAAAAGCAGGAGCATACAGACTTCTTATGGCCTAGGCCCAAAACTGGCATATTGTCACTTCTACTACACTTTACCATTGAAAGCAAATCCCAAGACCTACCCAGATTCAAATGGGAAAGAAGTAGCCTCTAAATCTTGATAGGAGGAGCTGAAAAATAACAGTGGCCATTTTTAAAATCTATACATAGTATGATTAATTGCATGTGTTAACTTGACTGGTCCACAGGTTTCCCATTCATTTAGTCTGAGTCTGATGGCCTGAGAATGAGGAGAGCTGATGGGGCATTACGTACACACACACACACACACACACACACACACACACACACGCACGCACACTTTATTCTGTCTCCTAGAGAACCAGGGCTAAT